TATATCAGCTAAGAAGAGTGTGGTTAGTAAAGTAATCTTGCTGGATGCCAACGAAAAGGCAAAATCCCACCAGCCCCGCCAACTGTCGTTAAAAACAAACCGTTGGATGTCATCTCCCCGTCACAACTGTTCCAACGTCCTCTTCTTAAACCTTAATTTACGCTCACCGACACTCCACCCGCACCGGAAACTCAAAGCTCCTCCCCATTCGCTTGTACATTCAGCTACATCCCTTGTACATTCCCTCAATTCAATCACCTAACCCTTACACATCTCACGTGAACTTCAGTTACCCAACCAATAAACAGATCGAAAACCCTTCATTAATAAGCACCCTCATTTGTGAGTTTTATTTTTTATATAGTGTTTACTGAAACGGTAAAATGTCAACATCGTTTCTCTTCAAGTGTTATGTCTGTCTTTATTAGGCTGAATTTTTTATTTATTTATGGATGCAGCTAGCTTCGCTTCATTGACAATCAATTCATCCCTTATATTATAAAATCGAAAAGGGTGAAAAGAGATACTGTGAGATCTAGATCTGTGCGACTCCGTTTTTGTTGCTCAAGGTTCATTAATGGCTTCCAAGTTGTTAATGGTTGTTGTTTCTATTCTGGATCTCATTGCTTTTGGCTTAGCTGTTGCTGCTGAACAAAGGAGAAGCACTGTGAGTAAAACTTTTCAATTCTTTATTATCGATCGAGTATGTTTCATCTATAGTTCAACTCGATGTGCACTCACTCTGAATTTAATTGAAAAATGTATGAGATCAGATCTTACCATGGTTAAAATTATTGAATTGTTAACAGGCTAAAATACAACAAGATTCAGAAGATGAGTACAACTATTGTGTGTATGATTCAGACATTTCAACCGGTTATGGTCTTGGTGCGTTTTTTCTTCTGTTTGCAAGCCAAATTCTTATAATGGTGGCTAGCCGATGCTTCTGCTGCGGGAAAGCCTTGAACCCTACCGGTTCACGGGCTTGTGCTGTTATCCTCTTCATCTTTTGCTGGTATACTCTTCAATCTGCCATCTTTTATATGTTTTAAGTTAATTAAGAGTTTATTGGGCCAGGATGTAACTTTGGGCTTTTGGGTGAACTTACTGCGTTACAACATGATATTCGGAGCACTTGATCAATAACTTTTGTTATTAGGATAACTAACATGTTTATTTTTTTATCGTGTTATAATATGGTATCAGAGCAAGAGCAGTAATCGATTAATGTGTGTGTTTGTGTCAGGATAACATTTTTTATTGCCGAGGCGTGTTTGCTTGCGGGTTCAGTGAGGAACGGGTACCACACAAAGTACAGGACCATATTCAATGAAGAACCTCCGTCTTGTGAGACGGTGAGAAAGGGAGTGTTTGCAGCAGGGGCGGCTTTCGTGTTCTTCACGGGGATTGTGTCACAGTTTTACTATGCATCCTACTCCAAGGCCCGGGGTGCCTTCCAACCTTATGGTGGTGAAGCTAATGTGGGCATGGGAGCCTATAAATGAGAAATATTATATTGGTTGTGGTCTCTCTAAATTGACATAAGTATTTTTTGGGTTATTTTTTAGGTGTTACGTTTGTTTATGAGGTTGTTGTGTATGTGAAGTGCATGTTACAATTTTTTTCCACGAAGAATTATATTTGTAGTGTTTTGTATAAATAATTGATTTCTTTTTTTGTTTTTAGGGTCAAAAATCAAAACAATCATTTTGGAGAAAGCACCTAAGAATGAATTACTGCAAGAAAACTGATTAAAAAGAATAACTTACTTTTGATCGGATGAATTTTTAATTCAGATTATGATTATTGAAACAGAAATGATTAAGGGCCAAAATTAAGTAGGATGACACTTTCAATAAGCCGGTTCAAACGGTTTTTTACCGGTTCAATTACACCAGTTCAACCCGGCTTTTGAAGAAACTGTTCGGTTCTGATGTAGAAATTGATATAAAACCGATCGTTGTTGAACCGTTCTTATCTCCGGTTTTCTGATTTGAACTGATTTTTAAAACATTGTGTGACTATTTCACCAACCTTTCGTTTTAAAAGTTCTGAAAGCCAAATTCGAACATTTGTTATTGACGCCACTTAATACGTCACTACACGTTACATAAATATAGAACTTGAAATAGACGGCTTGTCTGCTATCATTAAAAAAACATCACATGTGTGTAAAATTGATCTCTTAGCTAACCATTTACATGATAAAGCAAGGGATCCCCAGAGGCTAGAGGTCTCCATTAACCGATCTTAAGTTAATGTGAAAAAGATGAATCATTATATTTAAAAAAGCAATAAATAGGAAATTCAGACTTGAAACTAAAACCTCTACTGACACCTGAAGGCTGTAAACACTCATAGGCCCATGTCCAAACACAATATGTCTTGGGCTTCAACCTTGGGCCTAAATCATGATATTTAAAATTAAAAATAAAAATAAATGGTTTTAGATGCTTATTTTCAAGTTGTGTGGAGTGATGCATTAGATATGGGCTTGTAAATGACAATATATCTTGGGCTTCAACCTTGGGCCCGGGCCTACACTTAGAATTAGGTAATTGCTAACCTCCTATGTTTGATACACATATGTCCATTTATCCAAATGTATAATGTACTTTGGCGTGAGAGCAAAATTGTTTACATACGTGTCGTAGATTAGTCTTTGGTGAACTGTTTTTGGGTGAGACCGTTTAGTGTTGGATAACTTTTTTTTAGTTTCAGTTCGGTTTAAATTAGTTGGTCTGACCGTAAAAACGGTCGTTTTTCTGATTTGATCTTTTTCGACGCTTTTGTCTCATAACAAGAATATATAAAAATTTAATATTCAACTAACATTTCAAAAAAAAAAAACCCTTAGAAATTGTTGAATAATAATACAGACTTAGAAGATAAAGAAATTTCAAAAAAGTGTAGTTGTCGATGATATATACATATTCTTGCATGGGCAAGATTTTTGGTGAGGAATGACATTGGACGATATACTTGTTGCATAAATTTTTTTAGTGTCGGCAAATGAAGTATTTGTTGGTTTCTTCAACATTTGTGTTATAAGATGACATTTTCGTTGTCTTTTTTCCATTTCATCTTTCAAAATCTCATTTTTCATATAGGTTAAGCATTCTTCATGATCCACATAGTTTTGTTCTCTCTCCATCAAATCATAATAGTATTTAAGCATCGCATACATTTTGTATTGTTTCACGTGTCAACATACATATCTTTTTGTACTTACCATCTTGTCATTAAGAAAAAAACAAGATTAGTTGTGGTGCTAACTTAAAGCGTTAGTACATCCTTAACCACTATGAATGAAATTTTATATTGACCTAAATTTTCTCTTTCTAGAAACCATTTTACAATATCAAAGTTTGTAATTTTTTCGACAGTTACATTACAAGGATAGTCCATTGTTTATAAAATTGAATATTCGACGTTTGAATTCTTGAATGTTTTGGTTATTAAACCAAAGGGCTTCTAGCCCAGCGGTATCCGGTGTTGCACTCCCTCCTTGAGGTTGAGGGTTCAAGTCCCGTCGTGGACATAGGTGGATTTGAGGTGTAGTTTAGGAGTAGGTTAGATTTGCCGTTTCAAAAAAAAAATGTATTGAAGAAGAACTAGTTTAATGAGTTGGTTGCCTTAAGACAGAAAATGAGTATCCGCGTCTTGTGTCTCAACTCATGTATTGATTATCATATATGTTATATAATTGTTGAATATAACGTCAACAAATTGTTGTATTTCCTTTATTTCAATTTCTTCTTGACCTAAAAGTTGACTAATACTATCATAGTATACCTTTAAAATTTACAAATGGATTGAATATCGAAGATGAGCAACTAGTTGTTAGAAAGACATATGAAGGAAAACTAGTAGTTGGAGATCGGATCGGGCTTGCCCAACCCAAGAGCGATTTAGACATGAACCAAGACTGCTCTAAGGCCAATCGAGACTGGTAAAAGAGCAATGGATGCATGAATAAGGACTAACCTAATACTGCCAGTTTAGACAAATCTATACTACTCGATTCTAGGTCGTTTCGGCATGGGTCTAAATTTTCAGATCGTTTCAACTATCCACACCTACTTTAAGCATGTGATTTATTCTTTAGAAATCCAAACTCACACCCTCTTTTCTTCCTTTCTCGACACATTCACTCATGTCTCGACGCGAGTCTGTTCATGATGATACTTTAAATACTGTCTGCGGGCATTTTTCCTACACGTGGAGGACGACATATATTTGGGAAATGAAGCCAACTTTTTGATAAGTTTTGTGTACTTTAGATGGTACTTTATTAAAGACTTGGGTGGTTGTAGCTCGTCTATCTTCTTTATAGATACAACAAACATGTCAAAAGTGCATGCCTATACACCAAGTGTTGATCTTGTTGCTTCCACATTTTTAATCACTTGTTTCTCTACAAGTACAAAATGCACATGCCGAACACTTCTATTATTGAAACATTCACATGTCTTCTTCTTTCCTTTCACAAATTTATTTCCTTTTTCTTATTATCAATCGAATTCGGTATATCATTTAATTTTTCTTGAATGAGCTAAATGGCCATGGCCCTTTACGAACAAGATCCCATCTTGTACTTAGTCTAGTGGCATTTAAATATGATTTTTGATTACTAGCAATCTAGCATGCTAAGATTTTGATGTGAATGTATTTTAAGATTCATCGTAGCTTCTTCCAGACTTAGGCCCCGTTTGATACGCATCTTTCCAGGTCCAAACAGATCTTTCTGGCTAAATGGACCGGAAAAACTGTTTGATTTGCACAAAAAAAGGGTCTTTCCCGGTAAGATATGTCTTTCCCAGAAAGCCCCAAAATCATATTTTTCTGGCTGAATGGGCTGGAAAGACAATTATGCACCAGACCCCGTCTCTTTCTTTCTTTCTTGGATTATTATTTTTTTTTAAATAATTTTTTTTTAAATAATTTTTTATTAAATTATTACTTTTTTTCATCATTCAGCATAGTCAATCAGATGTGCAATCAAACAACATGATTTCTTTCCCGGTTAGAAAACTTTTCCAGACACTTTTCCAGACAGAAACTATCAAACGGGACCTTAGTCTAGTGGCATTTAAATCCCATCTTATTGAAAAGCATATATGCCTTATAGTCTAGTGGCATCTACAAAACATGTTGGTTAAATTAATGAATCAACTAATATCGATTACCAATTTTAAACAGGTGAAATAGAGAATTTACAACCCGACTAAGAAAAATTGTTAAGGTTTTAATTATTGTTGATAATTTATATTTATTAATTTGATTAAAATCAGATAAAACATTGTTATTATATGATCATAGACATATTACCTCTTTTTCTCTTTTAACAAAACTTTGTTATGGTATAAAAAATAATATAGTGAACAGTATAATGAATTGTGACAATTTGAAATAACATAAACTTACTATACACATGTAAATGAATTGTGACAATTTAAAATAACATAAACTTACTATACACATGTTACACGCATTACGTGTGACACATACATATGATAAATAATATGACATTATTTAACTATGTATTTTAGGTCATTGTCCTAATATATTTGAGTAAAAATGTTATATTTTAAGATATATAATATTTAATATGCTTTGAAATGTGCATTACAGTTAAAATGGGAGATGTGATGCAAAAGAGGAGAACGGAGCTGAAAAATACGCAAAAAAGATGTTGGACAGATTGACCTCTCTTCAGTATTTTGGTTATATCTAATAACACGTAACTCCGATTAAGGAGATTCAAGATGTACGGAAAACTAAACAAAATTTTGGATGACTTTCATGCCCGCGCCAAATACGAATTACAGTTCTCACGTCGTAGCAAAGGCATTACCACGATGTGGTGGATCAAAAAATCGCGAAAAACCCCGTATCGGTATACGTGTTCGTGTGCAATAAGGAAATTGACCACCACGACGTGGTGAGACCTCTACCACGTTGTGGAAACGCTGAAACCTATAAACTAATTCGAAAATTACCCTAAAAATATATCTTACATTCCTATTCATTTTCTACGATTATAAACCTTAGAGCTGCGATTTTGAGAGTCTATAAGGTGGTCAGAGGGCCATTAAGGTGATATAGAGCGAAGATCTGATCACGATTAATACTCCAATTGATTTCCAACTGTTTTTACTTTCTGAATTTAGGTGTTAAAACATTTTGCTTTGTGTTTGAAATAGATGAATCATGAGATTTTGGATTAAATTGTTATTTAGATTGCTTGTTCTTATTTAATTTATTGTGAAAGTTCGATTGAAGATTTATATTTGTTAAAACTCGTTACTTTATTACCTATTCTTGAGCTTATGTGATTAGAAGAACAATCTAGTTGTACATTCTTCAATCATAGTTGTTTTATTACCATAAAATAATTGTGACTAGTGTTGCATCAAACCATAGGGTTAGATTAATAACGTTATGAACTTTAATGTGTGTGCATGTTTTAGATAACCATTCTTAGCATGATTTAATTCTAATAATCTTTAGGATTAATAAAAATCGAATTTTGTATGATACGAACTGAATAATGAATTTAGGGATAATTAATGGCATGACGATGAAATTAAAAGTCCTTAGGGTCATTAGTATTCGTGTATGGACCAAATACACGAATCAATTTAGTAATCATTGAAGAATGAATAAATGACCATTGCACTAAAGTTAT